ATGTGTGTATATATATATAATATGTGGCATATATGTATGTGTGTACGTAAGTAATCAGCGCGTAACAACCCCGAGCTGAGTGCAGATTCATGTCTCAAGCAGTCGTCAGAGGGAGTGCCGGTTTAGTGAGTCTCAGGGCGTGGAGGGTCTGGGGTTTTCGGACGGGTGGATGGCCCAAGTAACAGCGACCTTTCAAGTTTGGGGTGTGTTGAACTAGCAGATAGCACATCTAGTATAGTATACAGATCATAAGATGAATGGTCATTGGAATCAGACCTTCGTACTAGGCCTGCAGACTCCAAACCCAAAGCCCTAAACCATCCCAAGGCACGACTTTGCCGCCAGTCTTGACTCGAGCCAACTGCTTCGCACCATTGGCTCGCTGTTGCTTCGCTGCTTCAGGTTTAGGTTAAGTGTTTAGGCTCAGGCTGGGAACGTTGAACCGGCTGCAGCCTTCGACACATCAGATATCATCAGATACATGCTTGCTGCCTTGACCAGAGATCGGGTTTTGTCGGGTTCACGTGCTTGCAGAGCGCCTGTCCCGAGCAAGAACAGCAGCTTTGCATCCACAGTGGGGGTATCAGAGAATGTGTTGGCACATCCTGAGATCCGTTTGTGGTGACCATTCCATTCCTCCTGCACGATTTGCCATGTGGTGATGCTGATCCCCTAAACCCTAAAGCCTAAAGCCTGAAGCTTAAAGCCTAAACAGCTAAACCCTAGACCCTAGACCCCAAACGACCAAGCCCAATAAAAGACCAAACTGGACCAAATTCCGCCGCTTCGCCAGCATCTCAAGACCTACTTACAAGACCCTTCGTGTCAGCAGGTTAGGCGAACTGTAGGATTTTTCGAGCTTTAAGCTTCGAAATGGGCCCTACCTAACAGCGGTGATTACGAGAGGCCCATGCAACGTTCTCGTCTCCCTCGTTTTAGGGTTTAGGCTTCAGGGTTGTAGGATCCCCACTGATGAAGAATCCATGATTGAACGCGGTTGCTTGATGAGTCTGCAGCCGCGACAGGCCAATGCCCAAGAAACAAAAGCCCAAAGTCCTGTACTTACATAGTAAGCGCGTAATAATCTAGGACATTTTCAGGTGTGTAGTTACCGCTATAGGAGCCTTATGGAAGATCTATATACCGTTTTTGAAGCCTTAAGGGAGCCCTATATACCCGAAACTCCCCATCTGTGGCTTCCTTAAAAATAAACAGCCTTATAAGTGCCCCAAATTGGGTCCTACGTAGGGCTACGACCGAGCCTCCAAGTAACCGAAGAGCCCAGAAGCCGCTTGTGCCGAGTTTGAAGCCTTTTCCCGAACCACTTTTACCCCAAATCCTGCCCAGAAGTCTTTGACCTACCCTAAGCCCTAAACCCTACACCCTAAACCCTAAAACCCTTAAGCATCAGGTTTGGCGATGGAGGTCTGTGGATTCGGATACATGTATCGTCTTTCTCTGAAGGAGTGAAGGGTCAAGCCTGGAGGTGCATGGTTGGGAGGGCTACACTACCCGAGCCTGTCCTGAGCAAAACGCCTCAAACTCCCAAACCCGAAATCGTCAAACCCTACGTGCGGTTGAACCTGGCAGCCTAGACCGATTGCGGGGATCAGAATGTCTCGCAAGCTTCAATCGCCCAGAGCTCATAGTTACACTAGGTAACGCTTACTGCTCCATGATCTCTGAAAGCCGATTGTCCTGAACCCCAAATGCTCTCAACCCAGGTTCCTGCTATTGTTTATCAGTGTCTTTGCGTCCATATTGGCTCCTTTTCAGTGCAACCTTCATCCCAACGGACGTCGCCTGGCCTGCATTCTCCTTGTCAGTGATGGCAGAGGGCGTATCAGTAGTCGTCGTTGTCGTCGCAATCGCAAGTTTGTAGCCAAAGGGGCTGGTGTTGCCCTGATAAGATGATCTATAGTTTGAACTTGTGCAATGTTTGGCGAAGGGCTCTGCAAGAATGGGCTCAGGGTGCCGGTTCATGCTGTAAGTGAAGGGCCGACATCCAAGCCCTCGAGCCATAATTTAGGGGCCTTAATAATCAGAATAGGGTTTTGGGCTCGTTTATCGCATACTTATAATAGGGAGCCCTAACAGTAATATTGGTAATTGTTTAGGCTTCTATATTAGCGTGTTCACTTTTGCCACGCAGGCCTGACATTGCAGGAGTATGACTCCGTTTTCTGCAGTGGCAAGGACCGCTGAGGGGTTTGGGAGCTGATGGCCCTTTGGGTCTCGAGCTTTGGGCTTGCACTGCATCTCCCCCACTGTGATCAGGGTTCGGGTTCCGTGGGTTCAGGGTTTAGGGTTTATCTTCTACATGCTGCTTTGTTCGGTTTAGTGTTTAGAGAAATGAAACGAAAGCGTGCTCTAATGAGGGCCAATGTGGTACGTGTAAGTTCGCTCTATGGCTTTAGGATTGCTGCTTCGCAAGGAAGCGAGAGAAGCCAACGTTGTAAGCCAGACAAGCACCACATTTCGCAGTTTTGCAACAGAAATGTGTGCAGTTGTTGCGGTATTATATTCACCAGGGCAGCATCAGCACTGTTAGCTATGCCAACCTACCAGAAGGAGCAAACAAAAGAGGCTGCTTCAAACTTCGGCACTCAACCCTCAACACCGGCCTCTTATCACAGTAATATGCTATCGACCCGAAATCTGCGCACTGAAGGTGTCAGTGCCATAGGAAGAAGACCGCTCGCCTTAGCCGGATCAACCCTAGACCCCGGTCACCCAGGCTCGGAGAGAGCTCGAGCTAAGGGCTCCTCAGATGTTGGTGGGGTCTGCGGCTGGTTTAGGGTTTAGGGTTTA